TACTATATGCTCCGTTTCTTATGTCAATCCTGTTTGCCATTTTTATAGGAAAGCTCAGTCGTAGCGTTGATTGTTTCTTTCGGACGAGTATGATTGTTTACCTTTTCTTGAATCACCAGCGCTGTTTTATAACAAGCGCCTAGTTTACTTTGTAATTTTCTACTTGTTAAATGCCTTTCACTGGAAAATTTATTCCTAGTTTTAACCATTTCTACGGATCTAATTATGCTTTAACTGACTTTACCGAAATATTCTTTAATGTTGTAAGCTCGGTTACTTTTCTTATAGATTGGCAAAAAGCGAAAAATTTTCGTTTACAACGTTCCCGAAACAAATGATAATTTATTAAAGAATTTTCAGAAAGTTTATAAGCAGACTAGAAAAAGTACTTGTAACAATCTTTGTTTGAAAATTCCATAGCTAGTCGGTAATTCAGTCTGTTTTGGCAGAAATGGTCTCTTTGTGGGGTTTGATAAGCCGTTTTTTAAGAGTCTTTGTCGCTTGGACCAGATGGAGACGATACAACGTCAGCTCGCCGTCTGTTGCGAGTTCCGCGCGTCCCTTGGAAAGTGTTGTACGTTCAAATAATGACTAACAATCTTCACGTATCAAAAGCTGATTCTCCAAGAAGGAAACAATACTATATTTGTTCAAAATGTTCCACCGGATCATTTATGTATAATGGAATCATTGGTTGCGCGTATACTTTCCCGGGGTAAGACTTCAAGAATTGAGTGACAAGTGGTCGTATTTTGCACCGGTCGCACCGAAATCTTAAGAGATCATTTTATTTGAGTACTAAAGGTTTGGGGTCTTATTTCGACAATTGAGTACAAAAAATTTCGAGTTACTTCTCTGGAAAGTCGATACAATCTATTTTTAGTTTTCCCGGCTTTCGAAAATTATTAAGGAGTTCTGTTAGGAAGACTAAAATTCACTTGTGTTTGTAATAATAATATTAAAAAAAAAAAGAAAAACAAACCAGCTTTTAACTGGCAGATATATGTGGGTAACTAAACAATTTTTCCCTTCACAATATTTTTGGAAGAGACAAAGTCGAAGGGCCCTGAAAGGGTATTTGAAGGCTACGCTCTTGTTGCAGCGGTTAATTTCCCAGGCTAAAAAATAATAGAAAGGGTGCCTAACTATGTACAAGGGTGAATAAAGGGATTACTTTATAAAAAAAAACTGGTGCTGTGTCGGTGGGGAAGTATAACAAGGTTGAACTATGGTTTTTATCAGCTGACCAACTCAGAGCCAATGGGCTAACGCTGGATGAAGGGCCAACGCTGGAAACGTCAGCTTTGGCCAATTTACATTATTAACTAGGTTCTTAAAACCGATTACCTTGTACGTAAAAGGGTGCACGCCTGTTTTAAAGAGAGTGCTAATTCGAAGGACGGAACTGAATCTGAGAAAGCCTTTCTTCAAAACGTAGGACAACTAGATAGAGCTAGGAATCGTTCTTTAAGCAGCTGAACTAGCAAAAAGCCCTTTAAGGTTGAATAAATTTGAGCTTTGTTAGGACTGGGTATAGCAGGATAGGTGGGAAACCACTCCATTGTAAATGAATATTTCGTGCGCTTCGCCTTTGGGCTCAGTCTCGCCTAAACCAAGAATCTTTGGATCTCCTCTTGCCAAACTTAGCAATTCAGTACAACTGTCAGTTAGTAGCTGCGATATTTTTGAAAGGCTATTCGATTGAATGTCGTACAATCAAAACCCTCCCCTCCCTCCTTTGCGGGAAGGAAATTAGACGCGGTCGGGAGAACATTGGAAATTCAGCTTAGAAAGTGGCGTGTAGCTTAGCGAAACCGAGCCCTGAAAGACCACGCTCCACATACATTTTAAAATGGTGAAGGTGATGATAAATCTACCAATCTAGTCTGCTAAAGGAACTTTGTCTGATCAGGTTGGTATTAGACAACGATGATGAAAGAAATATGTGCCCACAATTTTTTTGTCTTTTGCAGGATTGGTCGCCGCAGTTCTTGGTTTATGGAGACATGGGTCGAATTGGAGGAGCGCCCAGTCTCAAACGGCTTATCATGGAAGCTAGGTCCGGGCGCAACACGGCTGCGTTGCATGTCGGGGACTTCACGTATGACCTTCAAACTGACGGAGGACTTGTAAGTAAAGGTGCAGCTTTTTCGCTTTCCCCAATGTAGTGCCCCAGAAGCATCTTAACTGCACGGTTGGAAATTGCCAGTTGTAAGATCGGAGATTGTCTAATAAACTATTTCAAACCAACACCAGAAGTTTGCCAAGGCGCTAAGGGATTAAATCATTCTGATTTTTAAAAGTAATCGTCTTGATTTTTTTTTTGATTTTCCCCTTCATTTTCATTTTTTTTTTCATCTCTTTTTAGAATTTTTTTTCATCGTTAACTTAATTTTTCAGCTGATTTTGTCTTGTCGTGCGATAAACAGGAATACAATAAATAATTTAAGGAACAGATTCGGGTGACAAATCCATAAATTGATACTCAATCAAGGCATACGGTTTAAAATCACTGTCACGAAAGTACAGGACTGCAAGAAACTGTCATAGTCAGTTTCAAAGCTGAGATCAGTATGTTCTCTCTTCATTTTTTTGTGTGTGACATGCTAACTTGAAGAATCTAAGTTTCTCTTGTTCTTTTCTTGCCTCAGAATGGTGACGCGTTTATGAACAGAATTCAGGACATGGCCGCGTGGATTCCTTACATGACATGTGTTGGAAATCACGGTAAGAGTTTTACTCAAGGTTCAGTAGGAAAACTACTCAAACGGTAGATTGAAAGAGGCTCGGGAAAGTCATGAAAATATATGATTTAAAAAGGGAACAAAACCAGTCACTCATAGGCTGTAATATAGGCCTCTTGTTAGGACGAGTTTGCGCGGTTTCAAGCTTGCGATCGTTTATCCGGCCATGTTAACCGATGGCAAGCGGACGTGTGGGGGGAGGACGCGGGGAAAAATGAGACTGCTCCACCCCTTTTGACCGTCGCTTACGCCTTTGTGACAAATTTCCTTCCTATCCCCAGCCTTCCTGTAAAAATCAAAGCTGTGAAAGTCAAAGATGGCAGCTATGGTTTTCACCAAGAAAATGCTGAGCTCCCACTCGCCAAAATCACACCTGCTCGACATTCTATGCTCAGCACTGCTCAGACAGTACTTTTTTTTTTTTTTTTTTTTTTAAAAATCAATGTTTTATTTACAGAGGTAGTTGATTACTTACAATGATTGATTATAATAATTGGATAATTTAGATACGGTGATTGGGATCACAACAAATCAGGGGCTCAGACAGTACTGTTTAGGCCTTCCGGGCCTTATCGGTGCAGTTTTTTTTATGTTTAAGGTGGACGGCCGGGCCCCGATGAAGGAAGGTGCAATCCCGCCGACCTACATGTCTAATCCCAACCCATTGGCTTACGTGCAATGCCTTAGGGAAGGGGACCACCAAAAACGAGGGTCACCAGACGCCAAACTCGCTGGGGAATCGAACCCCACCTCACTTAAAAATTAACACACTCACAGTTCAACTTTAGGCCGACCTAAATTAGTTAATCCTGGCTGAATTGATTCAGACGCCGAACTTATTTCGGCCGAAATTAATTAACTGAAGTAAATTTGTGGCCGGGGCCGGCTCAGTGTTATAAAGAACTGATGAGAGTTATTTGAATGGCATGGTCGTTGTAAGGAAGTTTTAAGTATTTTATTTGGTCTCTTCTCTAAAGAGGTACCTAAATAAAGTGCGGCAGTTGATCAGTAAGTGTTTTGGTGCGACCAAACATATTTCCTTGAAATGTGAAATTCCCATATGCAATAAATGTTCAATTTTTGGAGAAAACAAAGATTACCATGCTGTCGCTTTTTTTGTGAGCGATACACAAAAGAGGCAGGAAAGGACAATGCTGAAGCAGAGGACAATGACATCATGGCCAAGAGCCAACAGAGTGAAAAATCAGTCAGTTCGAAAGGCGTAGAATAGGGCGCCCATTCAATATCTGTCAGCATCGTTCTGCTCGGCCCTTCAAGACGCCATTTTTCTTTTGCAACACTCCTTTCCACATGCTCACGTGTAAAAGCGGCAAGAAAAAAATACATGAAAATAATTTATGCATTTGATTCGGCTCATGTGAAGTACGGTGTCTGAATCAAAGCTGGTCTACGGTCGTTCTTCCCGGCTGAGTCAGGTGGGATTAATTGACTGAGCTGATCTAAATTAAGGTGGCTCACAATAGTTTTGGGTTCTAGCTGTGCGAATCACACACGTCACTTGCAGGATTTTTAAAAGCCATGGAGGAGGTAAACAAACATGGCGGTGCGTAATTTTTTTTGCTGAACTCTATTCACGTCTAGTATTCAGGGTAAATCGCATTTTTACGAAACTTTTAGCTGCCAAAAATCTTTATTTGTACTATTAGCTAAAGAAAATATTGCTTGGCGATCGGCATATGTTGTGCCGAGAAGAAAATTTTATAGTTTTTATGTACGCGCTGCGATCGATCGTGTGGACCCTGGAGTGGACTCCGAAATTCCCAAGACCAAACCAAGCACACTTTTACTCCTTTATCTTTCCTGGGGCGGCTTTGTATGTGGCTTTAGTTTACTTAATCCATCGGTGGTCTATGCTGGAGAAAATGACAAAAACTCTGTGTTTGCCAATTCTGGTCGCCATAAAGGTCGTTTTGCAACGAAAAGACGCTGGAGCGTTTTGAAAAACCTTGCAAGGGTAAGTGAGGAAAAATCCCAGGAAAAACAAAATGATACAGAGGAAGAGGACATTGAGCCCCCCAGAAAAACAGTGACTAGGTCAATCCAGGTAAGTTCTTTTTTGGACCAGTAAATTGTAACAAATAAAATTGAAGATATCGCCGTTTCTTTCGAAGACTTCAAAAGTAATCATTCTCTATTCATAGCAAAACATAGAGTAAGAGGACGCTCAAATGTTATCAGGCACACGAATCGTCAGCATGGAAGTGCTAAAAAATGACCTCAAGTATTGTTTACATT